AGGTCACACCTTGAAGTTTGAGCTTTAAAATTTGGATGTCATACGTTCTAAAACCTATTTTCATACATAAAAGTAGGTATAAAAGAATAAAATCTATCCGACTGAAGACTACTGAGGAATAACACAAGGAAAAATAATCGGACATGAAAGACAAGATGATATTTGATATCGCATATTTTGAGCATCAATACTTCAAAGTGGAGGTGTTACATTAGGTGTACATTAGTTTATGTAAATTTTTTCCATTTTTGTTGCGCAAACTTTCTCTAAGTGTTTTTTATGATTCCAATACTTAGTATAAGAGTGTTATTTGATTAATATTGAATTTAAAAATCTGTCAATGGTGCAATAACATTAAAAAAATTCAGGATATTATTATATATTTTTAACCATCGTCTATTATTGTAATTGTTTCCTTATTGCATGTACACTTTATTACGTCATTTTTGTTCGTACATCATTTTCTGTTGTCCTTCCTTCGAAAAAACCTATTTATAATTGCGCAAGGATATGGTCATGGCTATTGCAGCACAATATTCAAGATGATTGCGCAATATTGCGTATATAAATAGATCAGTTTTCTTTGTTAAACTCTTTTCTTTGTAAATAAACACTGGTCATACACACCAGAAGAGTGGTGCACTAGTTGGGAATCCAATTTACAATACTACTACTCACCCATATTAGTTCATATTATATCTGAACAAGCTTTTGATAATAAAACATAAAAACACAATTCATTGTTGGCACTGACACAAGGAAGGCTACAAGTTACATTTAACCCTGATACGCCCACCTGGGGTCCAGCTGGACCCCGACGAGTTTCAAATTAATGTTATATGCACATAATATTAGATCGAATCATGCCCTACGTGATATGCCTTAGTGAAGAGTAGTAGAGTAAGCTGATAACATCAGTTGCTCATTGCCATTCGTTGTTGATGTGATAAACGATGTGAAAGTACATGTGAACGCTTGTTGTCCACCCGGGGTCCATGCGGACCCCAAAGTTGATAAAACAGGATTAAAATCACTGTTAAGACATGGACTATTTTTAATAATGTATTCGAATTCAGCCTCGAATGATGAATATTTTCAAAAAAAAATCAAGCATTCAGCATAAAATCTGTTGTTTTTTAATTTAATTTGAAATTTGAAGAATTCAATTCATTTAAATTTTCAATGTAAAATTCGAAAAAAATAAAAATACTCAGATAGGATAGAGATATACATTAGTCGACTCAGTTTTTGATTCTGGTTCCGAATATGATATTTTTATTGCTCAAACGTTGAGTTATGATAGAGAAAATTGAGAATTACGGGCAGAATTCTGAGTTTTTCGCCCTGATTTAGGAAAAATCCAGAGAAAGCCAGGATCACGTGATATGGAAACATTGTCAAACCCTTGCATTTGTTCAATTTTTATTTGTTTATCGAATGACGTTTGTCCGAAGTCTGCAACGCTTACCTAAGTTGAGATATTTTACTTTTCAAAATAGTTAAATTTTCAAATTTCAAATTAAATTTCAAAATATAAATTTTATGCTGGAGATTTGGTTTTTTTTGAAAATATTCATCATTCGAGGCTGATTCAGAACATGTGTATTAAAAATGTTCCATGTCTTAACAGTGATTTTTAAACCTGTTTTATCAACTTGGGGTGCGGATGGGGTCCCACGTGGGCTACAAGTGATAGTCCTATAGGTGGTCGTGTCAGGGTTAACTTTACGAAACACAATAACAATCGACACTTTAATTGCTAGCATTTGTTTTTGAATGAATACACCCACTTTGTATTTGGAGACCAATAAACGAACCTAATGATAAAATATAATTTGATGTTCGAAACTGACACTGTGAACTTTGAAAACAAGATGAACATATACAAAAAGACTGTCGTGGACGCACAATTTCATTTTGTAAACAGTAACCGTACTTTTTCATAATATCTGCTTCATTATATATGTTTTTAGTACAGTTTTGTGTTCTATGGACATATAACAATCGTCATAAGAAGCTAAGTTGCCAAAATATTATTAAACGATCCAACTGCCTAGTTTTGACCTAGATTGATTACTCAAAGGGTTCGCTGAACCACCTGACAGTATATTTATAAATGGCTGGATAGAGTTCATTGAGTCACATAGAAAAATTAATCAAACTTATTTTTATGGGAAAAGACGACGGGCAATGATTTCCAGCAAAAATTCGCTCACCAAGATTTTTCAACTTTTTTGTATAAAATGGAAGAGCATTATTATAGCCACTATACCTATGATCTCGATTTCAACACCATGTTGTCTTCGCTTCGGACGAATAGACATCATAATACCGCACAAATTATTATAGAAACTACATAAAAAGATGATTAACACGAGAGACAAATAAGTTCCAACTGAAAGCTTTTGACTGTTTATTATGTTGGATAATCAACAAATCTAACGTAAAACCCAATAACTGGCTTAAGTGTTGGCACCGACTACAGTGATGCACAGTGGGCAACAACGTGGACATTAGGTGAAAAAACGAAAGTGAGTTTTTTCAATATCTGATTAGCGTTTCAGATACTTTGGATAAAGACCGATTTTTTTGTCACTGACGGTTTCTTCTAGCTCCTTTCCTCGCTGAGATAATCGGTTTCCAAAATTTCGCTGAGTTTCAGCGACATTTCAGGAACAGAGCCTGTGACATCTAAAGTAAGAAATGTATATGTATAAGTCTTACATATTCTGAAAGAGGACATCTCGGGCTATAGAAATCTGTAAAAGAATTTTTTTTTCTTGATATGTTTCTCTGCAGTGAAAAACGCGTTCTTTTTCCATTAATTTTTTTCCGAAGAGATGTGTTCAGTAAAGTGAGTTTCCTAAATTTTCCTTAAGTCAAATCCTGATGAATTTTTACCGAATGTTCATCTATATGAGGCACATGTATAGAGTTAGCGCAAAATAGCGCAAAGCCATCAGGCCGAAGATACTGGTTTTTCTGGTTTTTCACATGTTACACCTCGAAAAACCACTATTTTCTTCCATATTTATACATATTCAGACTCAGCCTAAAAGACTGCATCGAATGGCATGTTTTTCAGCATTTTTCGGAGCGAAAATTCGGGTCTCTGTAAAAAAGCTATTTTTTTGACTTTTTTTCGTCCGCGATGACGTTAAACCACATAGCCAAAGATGGCTGGAGTTTCAGTCCGAACATCACTGCAACATCACACATAAATTTGCTATGGTTTGCTGATTGTTCATGGACTCCCATCCTGTGCGAAGTGGCTTGCTGAGAAGCGCAGAAACTTGGTATCTGATTTGCTGGTTTTTCTCTCTCAAAATACTGCCTTGGAATTTCTTTTTTGAACAACTGCGATGAATTCACGGCGCACTCGGTTGATTCAATTTTTTAGTATTTTCGTGCTCGCTTCGTGTATGCGCTCGTAGATTTCTCTATTCTCAGTCACTAAAACCTCATACTAAATTTCACTGTCATATACCGGAAACCGACACTAACACTGACTGCCACATAAAGTTTATAGAAGCTTAGACACGTGGCCAATTAAAATCGAAAAAAATCAGGGCCAAGGGGTGGAGGTGGGCCGTAAGCATAAAACAAAAGGAGGTTTACTTCATATTATCGGAATCACCATGCTCAATCACCTCTAGGTCCATTTTCTCAGTTTTTCCATAAAAAAGGTTTTATAAATACCTGGTTTCCCAGAAAACTTTTTCAAAGCTCAAAAAAATTTCTTATTGCTAGATTCAAACCCAGCATGTTTAAAACCTAAAAACTTTTCATGTAATAGTACGAAGTTGTCTCGTTAATTAAGCTTTCAAAACCCAAAGGATCTCTGATCAGGAACTTTTGAGTTCTGAAAAGTGTTCCATTGGAAAGAGACCACCAAATAATCTGTATTCACTGTGTTTTGAGTTCGATGGAACCTTCGAAACCCTGATGTCCACGTGCCTATCGAAAATTGCCCACTAGCTGCATAAAAACTCTGTTGTATCGTCGCAAACCACTCTGAATAACTTACATTGTCTGTTCGATAAATATCGTTTTCGTTTTTTTATGACAATCTATTCTTCTCAGTTAAGGAAAACTTTTAAGAAAAAGTAAGGCCACAATCGGATCCGAGCGTCGTATTGTAAAAATTCCGAAACACACATTGTTCGACTCAGTTTTTAAAGCTAATTTTGAAAAGAAAATTTTAATAGAGGAAATGCTACAATACGAGCTGAATTTCATTGTTTTTCCAGTGATTTCAAAAAGAATGAATTTCTCAAAGAAGCCTCTCAGTGCAGAGTCTTATTTTGTACAAAAATGTACGGAGAGCATTTGTAGAGCAAAATATTCTTTAAAGGGACGGAGACAAGAGAGGACTCGGATCTTATATCGCGTCCTAGCGCTCATAACTTTGAAGGGGGTCTTCTAAAGCGTCCCTAAAAAAAAGCCGATTTTCAGCTGAAATCACTTGATCGAGAGTTCACACCGTGTACAAAGTTGTTTATTCAGCTGATGATCACTGTTTATTTTTATTCAGTCTATGAGTGTATCTCATATCACGTTTGAAAAAAAGGCCTTTTACAACATTAGATGGTGGTGACACAAACAAAAAATACATTTTTTTGTTATTTTTGTTACATAAAAATTACAATACATTTACTTTTTGAACTATTTGTCTAGAGACAATTGATTTTGTTACTTGGTGAATAACAAGCAGAAACTGTTACCCGCGTTTCTGACTGCTATTAGCAGGGATAGAGAGTGATACGAGAACAAGTGCCGTGGCTTAAGACTCCTTGAACCCAACTTAAAACTTTAATTTATACGGTTGAATGTTTTTTGTATAAAAAACGCTTCAACTATTTTTTGTATTTTATATATAAGTATATATATATGCTTGCTTATATAATTGTTCGTGGAAATAGAAAATAAAATTTTTGTTTATTGCGACGCGTTTCGTTTCATTTGAAAATAAAACTCATCAGGCAATATTTTATATCTCTTTATAATAATTTGTAATATAAGCCCGAATTTATAAAGCCCAATTTATAAGCCCGTTTTGGACCCCAGTGACTGCTAGGTCGTAACAAAGAATGAAATTTTGTTCGGGCAGCAGCAGGTTCAGGAAGGGAAATTTTTTGTTGATGAACAGGTTTTTGAAGAGATAAACGATTTCTCTTCAAAAAACGAACAAACCATTTTTTTGATGGTTCTTTTAATTTATTTGCATCACAAAATCTTTGTCCTACTCGAATCAGTCCTTTAAACGTTCCTTTTTCTTTATGAACACCAACATCTTCTTGATCCAGTCCACGTTTTGAACGATACCAATTCATTAAATGTTTGTCTAATTGAAGATAATAATTCAATTTCCCTCCTCCTCCTTCCACCCGTTTCCTTTTCTTTCCTTTTCCGCGTTTTTCTTTAATTAATTTAATTAATTCACCTTCTTTCTTCTTCCAACTTTGAATCATTTTTCTTGTACATTTTCCTTGAGTTTGGTGTTCAAGTTCGTATAATGAAACACCTTTATCCAATTGAGATAAAATTTTTAATTTTTCCTCAACCGTCCATTCACGACGCTGAAGAACTGTCTTCGTTGTCATGGTAGTAGCTGCGGTTGTTGCTCCTCCTGTTGTTATTGAATTTGAGGCAGCTGGTACAGTTATTGGATCATTTCTTCTTTCATATCATTCTCTCCTTCAGAGTTTTCCTCCTCCTCCTATTTTTCGTTCAATTTCTTCAAATCATGATCCTTTTTAGCTTTTGTTACATTCTCTTCATCATCACTGCTGCTGCCAACTGAACCAATATCAATTTTAACAAAATTATCACTCAATGTCTGTTGCAAATCATCAACTTCCATGTCAGAATCAATTGAGCTGTCATCTGACTCTGTTCCATTATGTTTACGATCGTTATCATCGTAATTTAACGGGAAAAGATGAGGATTTTGTGTTAAATCAGTCATTTTTTTTATCACTTTACAGTTAGTATAAAAGCAAAAGAACTCTTTAGAAGTGAGAGTTGCAATATGTGAGCGTGAGAGAGAAAGAGGCAGAGAGAGAGAGAGATCAGAGAAAAATTCTCTTGCTGTATTGCATTCGCAGCGTATCACATCGCAGGAACACACACACGTGCACACTTGTTTTTGTCTAGCAGCTTCTAACGTGGTTTTTGCGTTGAGTTCAAGAGGGGTCTTGTAACAGGAGGAGTCTTCTATCGTAGGGGAGTCCTCTATTGCGTCCATCCCTTTACTAACATCTAAATGGCTCTTTCAATGAAACAAATGCGTTAAAAGTGTAAGTTTCAAAGTAATTGAAAAAAAGAAAATTTTCATCAGGGAAGAATTTTTTTCATTCCGCAAGAATTTTACTCCAAGAAAAGTGTCTAGGATCGAAAAAGCAAGCCGGAACTCTACTGTAAAATCCCGGAAAAGAGGGAGTTTAGAGCCCTAAGTTGACGTGAAGTCCTAAATACAACAGGGTATGAGTCGGAGTTTCACAAACATCGTCAATTTCTTAAGGTCAAGTTTACTGATCGATGTTCCTTTTTTCAATGCGTGATGTTACGAAACGTTGGAGAACGAAAGAAAAAAATCACTCTTGGTAAGTACGAAAATAGGAACAGACCTGAATGCAATTGTTCGTAATAATAACAAAATGAGAAACAAAATACAGAAAAAACAGAATGGAGAAAGACAGTCACTTCTATTAGAAAGAGGCTAGATTAGAATATCGAAGAAAAGAATACTACACTAGCAATACTGTCTTTCTCACAAAACGAAAAGGGATACGTAACGTACTGTTAGCTGTATTGCACAGGGCAGTTTCGCCTGAAATTTTTTTTATTAGTTGATAGATACATTCTCGAAACTTTATCATGAATTATCAAGCAGAAAAAGTACAATTCATCGATACATCACCAGGAAACACAATTGTACAGACTACTAAAGCATTAGCAGCACCTGCCGAAGTCAGTCGAACACGAAAACGTTTAATCCTTTTAATAACTATTAGTCTGGTGAGTGATCGCGTTTTTCCAATGTTGTTACCTATGAGACGGGTTTGCGGCATCAAGTACAAGGCATCGACTACTATCTCTCCGAGTTACAGTATTACAACTTGTTTAGCTCATCAGAAATCTTTAATTTATATCTATAATGTTAATACTCCAATAATTGTCACATAACATATTCTCCTATCATGCGGTAGAACTAGTTTTTTCGTATAAATAGTTTGTATTTCTGTTGTACGCAGAAATAGCACACAAAGTTTCGGCTCTTTACTGAATGTCTTTGCAGAGAAATCTGTGATTTAACAACGCAGTTGTGTCCTTTGAAGAAGCTGGTCATACTTATAACAATTGCTGAAGAGTCAGAAACCAAATGCTCTTGCACTTTCTCTCAACTTACTGTAATCCATGCCTCAGCCAAATAGCGACCCACAAGCTTTTCATCACTGGACGGGGGTACCTCGTCTGACTAGTTCCTCACAATTGTTGCAAAAGATATTCGATTAATCTGAAATTGGTATAATAGAGGCTTTCAAAGATTATGAGATGAACAGAAATTGGCTAGCGCCACTGTTGATGTGAAAATCTCAAGATCGATCGATCTTCATATGATGAGTAAGTGGTTTTTTCAATAAAGGATATTTATTTCTCAATATCACGTACATGATATGCTCTTCTTTTACAAATTATTCGACGCTAACATTCGAGTAGATTACATGGCAGCTAAGTTGATCTATGCAAATATATTCGTAGTTGTTGTATTAACGGAACTTGAACAATAAATGAGTAGACTTATTATCACGGTAAAGCGCAAAGAAGTGCCTGGTACCTGTTTATACAGCTGTGATCCTATTTTTCGGAAATACTGAAAATTTTTCATTGACAATGATTTCTTTTTCATTCTGTCAGCTTTTCTTCGGGAAGTCCGATATCAAACTTAAAGGCCCTCCCCCCTCAGAAACTATCATCGACACCGTAGATCCCATTTTGGCCCAGGTCTTACGGTTTAGGAATTTTCCAGAGATCAAGGTCCAAAAGGACACTGAAGATTTTCCCAAGGTCTTTTAATATACTTCAAGCTGAAGAGTTCGAGTTTGTTTTATTTTAAACAAGACACCTAACTACATGGTCTGACTGGCGCTATTCGTTCAATTAAGCCTTTAGTGGTTGTGCAGGCAACCAGCAACCTCCAAAATTCAAAAATCATGCCGGGTCTTCCCAAAATCCTCAATTTGACAAGAAGTTAACCAGGAAACGTTTTTCAGTGAACTCTTTCGATTTTGTTCGCTCATACTTCATTCGACAGAGTATATTGAGATAAGAGAAAGCCTAAAAGAATTCGGGCCCATGGTTCTTTAAGGTCCGGTTTTCCTTTAAGAGCCATGGGCCCGAATTCTTTAAGGCTTTCTCTTATCTCAATATACTCTATCGGATGACGTATGAGCGAACGAAATCGAAAGAGTTCACCGAAAAACGTTCCTTCGTAAGACCTAATTCAAAAATCGACGCTGGCCAGTCCATGTGTTTTCTTTTCCTCTTTTAAACAGAAACAGAACTCTCTACGTCAAACCGCTACGAAAAACCTTGGGAAACACTTCAGGTATAACTTCCATGTAGAGAAAACGCTGTATAAAATGCTCAGTTTTAGCACTTGTGGGAAAATACTTATAATGTTTCGATGCAGGGTCATACAAAGTTGTGGGAGGTCTTATTTTGATCAGAAAAGTTTACTCTACAAACCTGAGCATTTAGAAAAAGATTGAACTGCATAAGTATCCAGGAAAAAGCTTGAAGACAAAGTTTTCGGATATCCTAGAAAACTTGCTCGAAAGCCGCGAAAAATCACCTATATAACCGAAAGCTATACAGATTCTGAAAGCAGATACTTCAGACTATCCCCCATCTGCGTATCTCAAAACCGATTTTTTGATCCAAAGTCACCATTGCTGAGGGGGAGGGAATCCTTAATTATTTTGATGTCGCCACCGACCGACTTCACTGTTGTAACGATACTATAAGCTTTCTTAAAGGAAATCCTAAGCCTACCTTTAGGTGGAAAGCGGATGCAAATAAGGGGGCTCTACACATCTCACATCTCTTTAAAAGCCTACCTATATCTGATAATGTGGTATCAGGAAGCACGAAAAGGTATGCTTTCTTATTTAATTTAGGTATTTAATACACTGTTTTTTATACAACAAGTTTATCGAGTTTCTACACAATACGCAAACGGGACAAATAGTGCAGTAATACTTATACCAGGTAATATTAAGCCATTTTTTGTTTTCGTACAGCGACAAACTTAAGTTTCATGTATTATTATGTTAGCGATACTGTGTTTGCTTTACAATTGTTTTGGATTGGTGGTAACATATAAATATCATCAAACCGGAATTCTTATTGTAAGTTAACAGATGTATAAGTTTTTTGTTGGGTAAAACAAAGATCAATTTATACCCAATACTATGGTCCCCGATACATATTAAATTCAACACTAATAGATATTTGAACAATTTCTAGCACTTCAGTAATAATCTTTTCATGTTTTAGTTTGCTTGGCTTGGTGTGATTAATTTTATAATATTATGTGCTATTGTAATTATGGCCATTCTGAATCTATTCGGTTTATTCGTACTGAGTGCTTTTGCTGTTAATCCCAATCAAAATCGTGTACACGGAGTCAGAATGACTACGGCTCGTGCTTTCTGGATTGTTTTTATTATTTATTTTGCAATCACTTCAATTTTCTATGTAAGAATAATCGCCTTTTAGATAATTTAGGTTTTAGAAGAACGTCAGCCGATGTTTGTAGCAATACATTACCCATCGTCTCGAGTGTCATAAATAGAAATATTTCCAATCTAAATGTCTTATTCGAGTCGGTATTAATTTGTTGCGTGAAAGCTATTAGTGATGTATATGGATTAAATTTCTTGAAGGAATACGAATTAGACGATGGATTTAAGGTTTAACTCCCAATTACGATCATTTTCATTTTATCTTGTTTTTATAGGTGTTAAAATTTCAATATGCATTTAAATTAGTTCGACTTATTAAGAATCCAACAGCATTTGAAACTGGTCTCTTTTAAGCGAAATTAAAGCTTCATAACATAGTTGTGGGACTTTACACGAGACATCTTCAACAATATATATTTATATACCTTTACCAATTATCTTATCAGAGAAAAACTCATTTCTGTAAATAAAAAAGTGTTAATCATTAGCTTTGGTTTATACTTAAAAATAAATAAAAACTCAACTAGAAAGTAATGGTTTGAGGATGATTTATCAAATAAAGCTTATATCAATGATTTGAGTATTCCCACGTAGCGTCGATCATAATTAGACTAGCATTTTCCACAATCCCTAGGACCTGTCTCAAAAGATGCTAATTAGACTGGTGCTCTAGTATATGTCAATCGTACTATAGAGCGTAGAGTAACAGAATACTTGTTAAATACGAAAACAAAAATTACCTGTTAATACGAAAAACAAATTTTCTCACGTTTGTCATAAGGCGTGCCAAGCCTTATGAGAAACGTGAGAAAATTTGTTTTTCGTATTAACAGATAACTCCTCTGATATTCAGACTTTGTAGTTTTAGTTTAAGCTTTAGTGCTACTGAGAACGAGAAATTAATCCACCTGCCCGGAAGCGAAAGTCCATTACATCAAGTATAGGCAGATTAGCGCTAAATCTGCCTACACCTGATAAATAAGTGCTGACAGATCTTTTTCTCAGTATTGGTAAGGATATCACTTAGCTTCATGTCAGCTTTTACACATAACTGTTTATTTTGTATTCTAGCAGAGTTCCAGGAAAATAAGTGTCTTGCGAGTATATCATTTTGCGAGGAAAATACATCCGGAGGTTGACCTTCGTTTTATATTGAAGTCTTCACCAAGTTACAAACTTTTCCAGATTTAAGACTTAACTCTAAAACATCTAGAATCGACGTTGTATACTCTGTCGGGTACTCAGAATGTGCTGTCGGCTACGGAGATAAAACGGAACGCCAATTCGTCAGATGATTTCGAGAGCGCGGAATGGTAAAACACAGATTCTTTGATATAACTTTGATGAGTATGAGGATAAAATTATTGTTAATGGAACACAAGACGCAGTTGGAACAATTCGAAATAAACGTAAAACAAAATGTCAGCCATATCATAATACGAGAGCACTTAACAGATCAGCTAGACTACAAAATAAACAGTTATGTGTAAACGCTGATATAAAGCTAAATGATATCCTTGTCTATATTGAGAAAAAAATCTGTCAGCACTTATTTATCAAGTGTAGGCAGATTGGATATGAGCGGAAAGTAATCTCCAATAGTCACACATAAAATTGATAGTCGATATGCTATAGACTAGACAAACTTTAGACCTGTTTAGATGAATCGTGCGATACTAGATTATATTTTGATGCATGGACTCATCGTATTAAGCACTGAATGTTTCTTCACTGCACACAGGTAAAACCTACCTAATGACGTTGATATATGGGGAACACTTACCTGTCCTTGGCTTAATACAAAATAGTGAAAAATTAAAGCACATTCAAATGCATCATCCGCTAAGGCATGTTCTTTTCTATTTGCTACAATAAAAGAAATATTTACCATTGGTTTCGAAACTTCTGGTCCACTGTGTATATGCCTTTTTTCGAATGCAATAGATATACAGCTACGGTTAACTGTAACTGTAAAACTGCTACAGTTAAAAACTATCAAGGTTAAAAATGGCACATTTCATAATCAAAACTGGTCATAACTGTCAGAAAAAGTTTGTACGAGAGATAGAATATCGAAAAAGAAAATGCATGTATTTTTGCTCAAGATATTGTGTCATCTTCTTTTATAGGTTTACTGATAAACTCTAGTTTTTATCCAGTTACATTACGACACCCTGAAAAAATAGTACTATCGACCTCAACTTTTTACCAAAACTACTTCATACTATCAGGTTCTAAATCGCTTTTAAGCATTTTCAAGTTGAACTTGCGGCCTGAGAAGGCTTGTAAAATCAAAGACCGACTTTTGAACACCTTTTATATAGGATTTTTAAGCAAGAAAGCATATTTTTTGAAAACAAAATTGGAAAATGAGGTGGGCTCTGCGCTATCTGTGGTAAAAAGTTGAGCGCCATAGCACTATTTTTTTAAGGAGTCGTAATGTGACCGAATGGAAACTAGAGTTTATCAACTGATAAAAGAATATGACACAATATCCCGAGCAAAAATGCATGCATTTTCTTTTTCGACTCTATCTTTCGTACAAACTTTTTCTGACAGTTATGATCAGTTTCGATTATCAAATGTACCAGTTTTAACTGTGACAGTTTTTAAACGTAGCAGTTTTAACTGTACATGTTTTACAGTTCTACAGTTTAGCAGTTATAGTTAACTGCTTTCTAACGAGGGAACCCCACGAAGTGATTAAACGCTTTTTGCTCGGAATCTAGTGGGTTATAGGTTATCGACCATGCTGATTACGAATACGACCATGCGGCTTCCGCATAGCCCTTCGAAGATCTGGTTTTCTAGAAAACGAGTTTTTCAGAAACCCCAAAAAATAACCCGAACCGTTCTTAATGAGGCATGATTGTAGCCCGCACATTTCTGATTAAAATGAGACCTCTCCCAACTCTACATGACCTTT